ATTCAAGATCTCACCCTGAACACTCCCCCAGACACGACATATCTCTTTCTCCTGTCAGCAACTCCAGCCAAGAGGATGACCAAAGAACAGTTTCAAGGATTAGAATCAATTCTGTTTAAACTGTGTAAAAATGTTTTTCTTTTAAAGGGCTTTGGTCTCCCTTGCACTCAGACCCTCGAGATGAAAGTTCTGGTGGAGAGTAGAGATGACTGGAAAAACATGAAGTTACAGCTACCGATAAGATACACAGATTTTGGGGCACCTGGGTGGCTCAGTTGTTAAGCCTCTGCCTTTGGCTCAGGTCGGGTTCCCTGCTCTGCAGGAAGCATGCTTCTCCCTCTTTTACTCCCCCTGCTTGTGTTCCCTCTCTGGGTGTCTATCAAATAAATGAAATCTTAAAAAAAAAAAAAATACACAGATTTTTAACAATGGAAGTAAACCAAAAACTCTGACACCTAGGAAAGTGAACCTTTACAACATGGGGACAGAGTTGTTGCTCGTCTTCATCCTTCCAACCTATCCTTGGAGCTCTCCCAGAGGAGAAATGCCTCTGCCGCTCTCCCTAACTGCCATCCATCCTGCTTCGCCCAACTACAAACTGTAGTGGATCCCAGGCATTCAAACTGGCAGCTGCTTCTCTCATTCGTGCTTGATGCCCTGATCAAAAGACAGAAGATAACAGTCCCTACCTTTTCCCTGCGGAACACCTCGAGGTGTCATGAACACCTTTGAGAACTGGGGCGGTTGGAATGGATCATGGGCAAGCAGGACTGTTTGGAACTGACTGACTTAAGGCAGTCCCTCTGAAGAGATGACAAAATCAAAGATTTGGACTGGTGGGGGTGGGGATTCCAAAGCTCACCATACAGTGAGAAGTCATGCTAGGGGCCGGGTTTGAGGCGGGGGCGGGGGGGAACTCCTAACAACTGAAGGATCTTTCTTTCCAGGTGTACCCTCTGGGATTGTGCTTTTGTGTGTGCATGTGTGAAAATCAGCCACTAATTTGCAATCTAAGTATGATCTGCAACCAGGGGTGATGATCAGAAGCTTTCAAGTATTTGAGGAAATACCCAGTAGTGCAACAGACCTCGGACATGCCCTCTGGGAGCAGGCTGACCTATACTACGGTTATTAGAAAGTGGTACAGAATCTGTTCCTGTCTTGAGCTGCAACGCTTCATGACCCTGCCTCGGCCTGGAAAGCATTCAAGTCAGCTTCAGCTGGCTGGCCAGAGCTCTATGGGTAATAAAATGTGTCACAGACTTCTTCCTTGTAAGCCAAGGCAAAGTCTGGGCAAATGCTAAGACAAACTGCTGGCCCTGGTTTGGCGCCCTGGGCCAGGTAAAAAGGCAAACGGAAATACCTGAAAAGCATCTAGCTTTCTAAGACACATCTTGGTGGTTAAAGACTAAACCACAATGACTGAGGAGTGGCATGTACACAGAAAAACTGGCCAGAAATCGGAAATAAAATGAGTGGTTGTGTCGGACTGTAGGGAAAATAAATTTTATGTTTCTGCACAGCTAGGACTTTTTAAGCAAATTTAAATAAAACTTGGAGCTTAAGGTAAAAGAATGAGGCTTGGAAAGTAATTTATGACTAATTAGATAGGGACAGACTCCAGAGAGACTCACATTTCAGTGGGGGTACTGAAACCAGGAGCCCTGGTGACATCGTGGGTATAAGGCTGGAGACACTGGTCTTCTCTCTCCTCCGAAGAAATTTACTCATAGCCCAAAGGGTAAAGTGTGAACTCAGGATCCTTTCCAAGGGAGCAAAGGTTTTCCTCCCTCCTTTTAAAATGGTAGGGGGACAACTAACTCTCTCTTCTATAGAAACACCCAGATTCATTTTATCAGTATTTTTCACCCAAAATACCAACTTTGTATATATGTGTAGAATACCTGCTTTCTATCTCATTGCTCCAGGGGTAAGGAACTGAGGTACACTGAAACCACAAAGTTGTTACTTAGTTTTAAGTAAATACTAATTCATCTGCTCTATTCCAAAAATCTCATGTGCTGTACTTATGGTAAAATTAACAAAGATAAATACTAAAAATTTAACAGTCTGAAATTTAAAATCTCCACCAAAAGATAACCTCAGACCCCAGAAACTTCACAGGTGAAATCTTCCAAACATTAAAGAATAACATAATCTCACACAGTATCATCCACAGAATAGAAAAGTGTGAAATGCTGCTCAACTCATCTTATGGACATAGTACAATCTTTCTTTTTTTTTAAAGATTTTATTTATTTATGTATTTGACAGAGAAATGCACAGTGAGAGAGGGAATACAAGCAGAGATGGGGGTGGGGAGGAAGAAGCAGGCTTCCCACTGAGCAGGGAGCCCGATGCGGGGCTCGATCCCAGGACCCTGGGATCATGACCTGAGCTGAAGGCAGACACCTAACGACTGAGCCAACCAGGTGTCCCCAAAAGTAGAAGAGTCTTCAACCCCAAACCTGAAAACATTACAACAAAGGCTAATTACAGGATAATAGGTCTTATGAACACACACACACACACACAGAAAAATCCTACATAAACTAGTAAAAAGCCAAATTCAGAGATTATGAGAGCAAAATACATTATGACGGAGAATGTATTTCAGACATATCAGGTTGGCTTAATGTTGGAAAATTAATCAAGATTACTCACCATATTAACAGGATAAATATGAAAAATCATGATTATCTCAATATATGCAGAGAAAACTTTTGACAATATACTCATTCATGATTCAAAAAAAAAGAAAAACAATAAGGGGGAGCACTTCAGTGGCATAGTCAGTTAAGCATCCCCACCATGCACGTGCTCTCTTTCTCTCTCTAGAATAAATAAATCTTTAAAAACAAAAACCCCCTTAGCAAACTAGGAATAGAAGAGAACTTCCTAAAAATGATAAGGCACATTTATAGAAATCCTTCAGTTAAAATCAAAATTAAATCTAAAATACTCAGTAGTTTCTTCCTGAATTCAAAAACAAGACAAAGATGTTCATCTTCTCCACTTCTATACAACATGCTATTGGCATTCTTAGCCAGTACAAAATTAGGAAGAAGTAAACTTGTCTTTATGCATAGACAACACAATTATTGACCTAAAAAATTTCTAAAAAACTATAAAATAACTATCAGAATAAGTAAACTTAGCACGACTGCAGGATACAAAGCCAGTGTGCGAATACCAATTTTTCTATACACTAGAATTAGATGCCAATTCTCTCCAAAATGATCAATGCAACCCCAATAAAAGCCCTAAAAGAGGAGGTATAGGGGTATGGGTGTGTGTGTGTGTGTGTGTGTGTGTATTTGTGGAAAATGACAATCTGATTCTAAAATTTATATGAAAATGTAAAAGTTCATAGTACCATAGCACTGTCCATAATATCTGGAAACATAGAAATTATTTTAATGTATTTTGTAGATTAAAGATATTCTTGGCAACATTCTGTATTCATGCTATAGCCAAGCAACCTTGAAGAAAACAGCAAAGCTACAAGGCTAATATTGCCAGATGTCATGACTTATAATTAAATTATAAAGATAAAAGATAATGGTATTGTCAAGAAGACGGATAAATGGAACCTTTATAAGACAGCCAATAGGGGCACCTGGGTGGCTCCGTTGGTTAAGCAACTGCCTTCAACTCAGGTCATGATCCCGGACTCCTGGGATCAAGTCCCACATCAGGCTCCCAGCATCATGGGGAGCCTGCTTCTCTCTCTGACCTCCCCTCTCATGCTCTCTCACTCTGTCTCTCTCTCAAATTAAATAAATAAATAAATAAATAAATAAAAAGACAGCCAATAGAGCAAAACAGAAAGCCCAGAAACAAAATCACAAATATATGTTAACCTGATAAATGACAAAGATAAAACCATGATTCAGCAGGAGAAAGGACAGTCTTTTTAACTGTCATCAGAAGTCATCAAGAAAATGGTAAGACAAGGCTTATATAATTGAGAAAAGGTACTGTCAATACATACATTTGCCAAAGATTCATATTTGGAATCTATTTTAAAACTTCTATAATTCAATAGAAAAAGACTAATGGTCCAATAAAATATAGACAAAAGACCTGAATGGTTAACTTTGCTAAAGAAGATCCAAATAGCCAACAAACATATGAAAAGATGCTCAACATGAGTCATCAGAGAAATGGGAATTAAAACCTAATGAGATAACACAACAAAATGACTAAAATGGCTAAATTAGACTGACAATACCAAGTGCTCACAACAATAAATGGCAATTAAAGCTCTCATACATTGCTAGTGACAATACAATTTAGTACAACCTCTTCGGAAAATTATTTACACTAAAAGGTGTTGTAAAGCTAAGTACGTGATCACTCTACCCAGCAAGTCCATTTCTGGTCACATATCTAACAGAAGAGTTTACATCCTCCTCAGAAGGACACATACAATAATTTTTATAAATGTTTTTCAAAAACCTCAAACTCAAAACAAGTATGTTTCAAAATAAATATGTTTCAAATATGTATCCTAAATATGTTTCAATAACATAATAAAGACATAAACTCTGTGATAGTCACAGTGGAATGCTACACAGCAATATAAAGCCATAAACTAATCATAAACACAATGTGAATATTTTTCATAGACATAATACTGAATCAAAGCAGGCAGATACTATATATATACACACACACACTGTGTGTGTATACATATATTGCATATATACACATATATATAGTACATGTGTATACTTAAGATCTGTGTATTTAACTCTATATAATTTATTCCTAAGGAGGAAAACAAAGATAACATTGTGTATAAAAGTGACACTGGGAGATACTGGATGATTGAGTGACACTGAATATTTGAGTCACGTCAACATGCTACTTTCAAAGGTCCAGAGCCTCTAAAAAGTGATTCTTAAAGACCGTTTCAATGGCCTTAAAGCTCTGAACTAAGGCTTTGTGATCTAATTTCCTCCTAAACTCCATCCGGCTCATACATACTCACTCACCTGGGTCGTTCTGGCTCAGGAACTCTTCTAATATCCACGGCTCCTCTCCTTGCTCCAACTTGAGGATCACTTCTGGTTTAGGGATGGAATACCCTGTGAATGAGACGTGTCTGACTTGGGACAAACTGGATGAGTTTCAGGGCCTCTGAAGGCGGAGGACATTATAACTCAAAGACCATACAATAAAAAAAAATTAATTCCTGTTATGAGGGAAAAGAAAACAAATCCCTTCAGATAATTAAAAGGTCATCCTTGACCTCCAAATTTCAAAACTAAATATTTTATTCCAAAAACTCTGCAAGTTTCTGTAAATAAAAAAGACACACATACTGGGGGTCTACGTGAGAAACAAACACTACCTACCCACTGAGACAAGGTGGCTATAGTTCTCCAGCATCACATCCCTGTACAGGGTCCTCTGAGCAGGGTCCAGGTGCTGCCATTCCTCCTGAGTGAAGCCCACAGTCACATCCCTGAATGACAATGACCCCTGGAAAAGCACATTTCTGCTCAGTCTAAAGTGGTCAAAATCAAGTGATAGGAAAAAAAAGAAGTTCAAAGACCAATTCTTGGAGGTATTGCTCAGTGGTAGAGCATTTGACTGCAAAGACCAATTCTTACCATTTTTTACTGTTGAAAACTGGCCAGAAAATGTTACTAAGGACCTCTATTATAGAGCTTTCTTTGTGTTATGCTTTGTGAGTTAAAAAAAAAAAAAAAGATCATAATAGAAATACCATTGGTGAATTACTTTGTTATTTAATACAAAAAAATCTGAGTGCCCACATGTACCTGTAACTGCCCTAGTCTCTGAGAATTCCAAGTTTAATAAAACACTCTTCCTGGTCTTAAAGAAGTTATTCTCATAAGGAAACATACAAAAACATAGCTACCATAGGACTTGAAGAATCCACACCATAAACAGGTGCAACAAAGACACGATTCATAAAGGGGTTCTGTGCAAGTTCCCGTGCTCTGAGGACCAATGCCTCTGATCACACGGGTGCAAAGAGGCACACAGCCACTGTTAGTGCATTTCCCCAGTTGCTGCAAGTCCCCTTCAGTTTGTGTTTTCCCCTTTTCATTTTCTCCTCCTTCATTCTTTGCCTTTCCCCCTTTAGGAACCAGACACTGAAGACCAAGACATTAAAAAATAACTGCAAATACTAGGAGAATCAGAAAGTGGGGGTGCATACCCAAGGACAGGCTCAGAAAACACTAAGAAGATGTTAAGTTTACACATCAGGCAGATCCCTGGCACAAAGAAAGCCTACAACAATCAAAAGATAAATGAAAATAAACAAAATCAGTAAGAAAATATGGCAAACATTGCAGAATGGGAAGAATCTGATTTCCAGAGTTACCACATTATTAGAGTCAAATGCCCAGTGGTCAATCAAAAAAATCACAAGGCATACAAAGAAAAAGGAAAATATGGAAACATGAAACTCTAGAAAAAATACAGGTGGTAAGCTCCTTGACACAGGTCTAGACAATGATTTTAGATTTGACACCAAAAGGAAAAGCAACAAAAGAAAGAATAAATAAATGGGACTACATCATAACTAAAATTTTTATACACCAAAGAAAAATCATCAACGAAATGGAAAGGCAACTTACTGAATAGGAGAAAATATTTCCAAGTAATATATCTAATAAGGGACTGATATTTAAAATATATAAAGAACTCATCAACTCATTTTTTAAAATAAAAAAAAATCTGATAAAAATTGGGCAGAAGATCTGAATAGTCTTAATTCAAGGAAGACATACATATGACTAACAGGTTTATTTCAAAGATGCTCAACATCTAATTATTAGAGAGATGCAAGTCAAGACCAAAGTGATATTACCTTACACCTGTTAGAATGGCTATCAAAAACACAAGAAATAACAACAGGCGCTGGTGAGGATGTTAAAAAAAAAGGAACCCTTGTGTGCTGTTGGTGGAAATGTGAATTGGTGCTATAGAAAATGGTATGAAGGCTCTTTCAAAAACTAAAACTAGATCATATCATCCAGCAATTCCACTTCTGGGTATTTATCCAAAGAAAATAAAAACATTAACTCAAAAGGTTATATACATTCCCATGTTTATTGCAGCATTATTTAAAATATCTAAGATATGGAAACAACCTAACTGTCCATTGATAGATGAATGCATAAAGAAACTGTGGTATATCTATACAATGGAATATTATTCAACCATAAAAAAGAATGAAACCTTGCCATTTATAGCAACATGTGTGGACTTTGTGGCATTATACTAAGTGAAATAAGTCAGAAAAAGAAAAAGACAAGTACCATGTGATCTCTCTGATATGTGGAATCTTTTTTTTTTTTTTTTTTTTTTTATTTGTCAGAGAGAGAGAGCGCGAGCACAGGCAGACAGAGTGGCAGGCAGAGTCAGAGGGAGAAGCAGGCTCCCCACGGAGCAAGGAGCCCGATGCGGGACTCGATCCCAGGACGCTGGGATCATGACCTGAGCCGAAGGCAGCTGCTTAACCAACTGAGCCACCCAGGCGTCCCTGATATGTGGAATCTTAAAGAAAATACTCTCATACAGAAAACAAACTGGTAGTTGCCAGAGGTGGGGAGTAGAGTGGGTGATATGAGTGAATTCTTTTTTGTTGTTGTTTAAATAAATTATTTTAAAGAGAAAACTACTGACCAATATCCTTTATGAACACTTATGTAAAAAATCCTCAACAAAGTATTATCACACAGAAGGATTATAATATACTACAAAGCTATAGTAATCAAAATATATGGTACTGGCACAAAACAAGACACAAAAATCAGTGGAACATAACAGAGACCCCAGAAATAAACCCATACCTCTATGGTCAATTAGTCTATGACAAAGGAAGCAAGAATAAAGACTGAAAAAAAGACGGTCTCTTTAACAATTGGTGCTGGGAAATCTGAACAGCTACGTACAAAATAACGAAACTGGGCCACCTTCTCACACCATACACAAAAATACACTCAATGGGGCGCCTGGGTGGCTCAGTGGTTAAAGCCTCTGCCTTCAGCTCAGGTCATGATCTCAGGGTCCTGGGATCGAGTCCCGCATCAGGCTCTCTGCTCAGCAGGGAGCCTGCCTCCTCCTGTCTCTCTCTGCTTGCCTCTCTGCCTACTTGTGATCTGTCAAATAAACAAAAAAAAAAAAAAAACACTCAAAAGGGATTAAAGGTTATAAAACTCCTATTAGAAAACACAGCAAGTAATTTCTTTGACATTGGCCATAGAAAGATTTTTCTAGATATGTCTCCTAAGGCAAGGGAAACAAAGCAAAAATAAACAACTGCAACTATAAAAATGAAAAGATTTTGCACAAATGAACCCATCAATGAAACAAAAAAATTTACCCAGTGAATGGAAGAAAGTATCTGCAAATGATATATCCAATAAGGGATTAATATCCAAAACATATAAAGGGCATATACAACACAACGCCAAAACAAAACAAAACAAACAAAAAAAGCCACTGATTAAAGAAGACATACAGATGGCCAACGGACACATGAGAAGATGCTCAACATCACTTTTCATCAAGGAAATGTAAATCGAAACCACCTCACACCAGTCAGAGTGCTTACTATCAAAAAGAAATAACAAGTGTTGGTGAGGATGTGGAGAAAATGAGATGCCTGTGTATTTTTGGTGGGAATGGAATTGGTGCAGCCAATGTGGAAAACAGTATGGAGTTTCCTCAAAATATTAAAAATAGAAATATCATATGATCCAATAATTCCACTTTCTTTGGGTATTTATCCAAAGGAAAAAACAAACAAAACTAATTTGAAAAGATATATGCAGCATATGTATGTTTACTGCAGCTTTATTTACAATAGCCAAGACACGGAAGGAACCCAAGTGTCCACTGATAGATGAATGAATAAAGAAGATATGGTATAGAGACACAATAGAATGTTACTCCGCCTTAAGAATGAGATCTTGTCATTTGTGACAAGATAGGAGGACCTAAAAGGTATTATGCTAAGTGAAACAAGTCAGACAGAAAAAGACAAAAGCATATGATTTCATTAACATGTGGAATCTGAAAAACAAAACAAATGAACCAATAAACAAAATACAGATCCATATATACAGAGAACAAACAGTGGTGCCAGAGGGGAGGTGGGGAGGAGACTGCTGAGAAAAAGGATTAAGTGTTACAAACTCACAAAAGATATAAAATAGATATAAGAAGAGTTATAAAATACATAAATTATGGAGATGAAAAGTATAGACCAGTAAATAAAGTCAATAATACTATAATCATGTATGGCAACAGTTGGTGACTACACTTATTGCGGTAAGCACTGACTAATGTATAGAATTGCTGAGTATGTTGTAGAACTTAAACTAAATAAAACTGTATGTTACACTTCAATTAAAAAATAAAATAAAAATAAAATGGATTATATGCCATGACCAAGTAGATCTATTCTTGGAATCTAAGGATGGTTCAACATACAAAAATCAATCAGTATAATACACCACATCAAACAATGAAGGAAAAAACCACATGACCATCTCAACTGATACAGAAAAAGCATCTGACAAAATTCAACAATCTTTCATGATAACAACACTCAATAAAATAGGGATAGCAGAGAACTAACCCCATATAAGAAAAGCCATGTATGCAAAAAAAAAAAAAAAAAAAAAAAAAAAAAAAAACAGGAAAAATTATACTCAATGGTGAAAGGCTGAAAGCTATTCTTCTAAGATCAGGAGCAAGGCAAGGCTGCCTGCTTTCATCACTTCTATTCAGCATAGTATTGGAAGTTCTAGTCACAGCATTAGACAAGAAAAAGAAATAAAAGTATTCAAACTGAAAAGGAAAAAGTAAAATCATCTGTGCAAATGATATAATCTTATATGTAGAAAAACCTGAAGACTCCACAAGAAAAGCTGTTAGATCAACTAAATGAATTCAACAAAGTAGCAAGATATGTCAACATACAAAAATCAGTTGCATTTCTATACAGGAACAATGAATAATCTGAAAAGGAAATGACAAAAGCAAATCCATTTACAAAAGCATCAAAAGAAATTTTAGGAATTAATGTAATCAAAGATGTAAAAGATTTGCACAATGAAAACTATAAAACAGTGCTAAAAGACATAAAAGACGACATAAATGGAAACACATCCCATGTGCATGGATTAGGAAACTTATTGTTAAAATGTCAATATTACTCAAGGCAATCAACAGATTCAATGAAACCTCTCGCAAAATTCCAATAATATTTTTTGCAGAAATGAAAAATATTCATCCTAGGGTGCCTGGGTGGCTCAGTGGGTTAAAGCCTCTGCCTTTGGCTCGGGTCATGATCCGAGGGTCCTGGGATCAAGCCCTGCATCAGGCTCTCTGCTCGGTGGGAAGCCTGCTTCCCCCTTTCTCTCTCCACCTGCCTCTCTGCCTACTTGTGATCTCTGTCAAATCAATAAATAAAATCTTAAAAAAATATTTCATACTAAAATTCATACAGAATCTAAAGAAACCTGAATATCCACAACAATCTTGAAAAAGAACAAATCCAAAAGAAGGTCTCAAAAAGATGTCTGTACGCTCATTTTCATAGCAGCACTGTTATTCATAATAGCTAAAACACGGAACAACTCAAGTGTCCATGGACAGATGAATGGATAAGCAAAATGTATATATACATACAATGGGATATCACTCAGCCCTAAAAATGGAAAAAAGTCTGCAGTATGCTACAACATGGGTGAATCTTCAAGATTCATGCTAAGTCAAATAAGGCAGTCACACAAGGACAAATACTACAGGATTCCACTTATATGAGGGACTTAGGGTAGTCAGAATTACGGAATCAGGAAGTATCATAGGAGTTCCCAGAGGGGAGTTATTGTTTAATAGGTACAGAATTCCAGTTTTACAAGATGAAAGACTATGGGGATGAATGGAGTGACAGAAGCACAAGAATGTGAATACACTTAACACCACTGAAGCATACACTTAAAAATGTTGAAGATGGTAAATTTTAGGTTATGTTGTATTTTACCACGATAAATAAGAAAAAAAAAGCGAAAATGTACTGGTAAGTACTACAACATGGATGAACCTTGACAACATGCTAAGTGAAGGAAGCTAGACACAAATGCCCATATACTGAATGACTCCATTTGTAGGAAATACTCCGAATAGATCAGTCCATAGAGACAGAACACAATCAGCTCACTGCCAGGGACTGGGTGAATAAGAGAATGGGGAGAAACTCCTTAATGAGTAACGGGCTTTATTTAGAATGATGGGAATATTCTGAAACTCAATTAAGGTAGTGGTTGCATAACACTCTGAATGTACCAAGTGCCACTGAACTCATTTGGTCACTTTAAAAGAGTTACTTTTGTATGTGAATTTCACCTCGGCAAACTTTTTTAAAGACATAAGAACAGGGGCACCTGGGTGGCTCAGTGGGTTAATCCGCTGCCTTCGGCTCAGGTCATGATCTCAGGGTCCTGGGATCGAGTCCCGCATCGGGCTCTCTGCTCAGCGGGGAGCCTGCTTCCCTCTCTCTCTCTCTGCCTACTTGTGACCTCTCTCTCTCTCTCTCTCTCTCTAATAAATAAAATCTTAAAAAAAAAAAAAAAGAA